CAATGAACATAAATTTATACTATTTTTTTTTTTCTTTGGAATGTTAATTGTCAAATTTCTACTCAGTTATTCTCTTTGTCATTTCATCAAACACATTGTCTAACACCATTATGTTTTAAGCAATTACACACTATAATAACATTATATGAACCAACCAAAACCAAATTTCAGAAATTTCACACAACATGGTTCCAATAAATTTTATTAAATCTTAGAATTAAGAAAACCTAAATACATAATGTATAAATTAAGAAAACCTAAATACATAATGTATAAATTTTATTACAAGTGAACTAACATAATGTTCAAAAATCCCATAAAAACAGTAAAATTATCCAAGTGAGTGAGAAGAGGGAGGGGAGAATCCGGCGGCAGAGTTACGTCTGGCGGTGAGTCGCGTCCAACGGTGAGTGAGGTCCACTGAATAAGGGTCGCTGTTGAATGTGGTTTATGAGGTAGATGGTTATGTTCTCTGTTAGTGTCCATTAATTTCTATTTGGTAAGAGGGCGCCCGTTTTTTTTATTATTTAAATTTTAAAGGTTAAACTCAGAAGTGAGACCACGACGTCATTTTGTTCGTATAGAACGAAAAAAAAACCTATTAACGCCGAGCTCCGCCATCTTCCCGCCTATCCCCGCCTGCTACCGCTTAAGCCCGCCGAACCTGTCGAACCCGCCTAGCCGATGAGATCGCCGAGGACCGCCAAGGCCGCCTAGGCCTGACTAGGCGGCGCCGAGCCCGCGTGGTAGATTTTTACGGCCGACTCGACCAAATCATCTGCGCCGAAACGCCGCCTAGGCCGATTTTTAAAACACTGGTATAAATATGTATTTTTGTTATTCAAAATAGTATTAATGATCCATCTGCCTAATGTTACGTACATATATTGTTTTACACAAAAATTTATGTTGTAGATCATGAACAAGCCATTTTAATGCCATATAATTTATATCGTTGCAAGTTCCATCTAGTCATTTGCACTTTGTAATAAAATATGAGATTTATAATGATAGTTGAAGTAGATTTATAATTTCGCTAAACATAATTTTTCTATATATGGATCGGATTAACCATTAGCGTCAGATACTCAGATCGATTTCTCTATAATATTTGAACAAAAATATATTTATTTGAACTATTAAAAATCATATTTCTATTTATTTTGATTTATATTTCTAAAAACAATATCTCGGTCTAGTGGTTAGACAAGTTTGGCAGAAAAATAATTTATTTTTCCTCCCTACCTATTTTTATATTCGGGTGGATACGTGTAATTAACTCTTCATATTTATATGTCGCAAAATATTTGTGGAGGTGGCGTGACGAGTTAATATTCTTTCATTATTTATGTCAAAATAAATTAAATAGTCTGCATGATTAATAAGATTCTGTGGTTGAACAAATCAGATTTGCGAATAAGAAGAATGCTTGATGCGTACTTCAGATATGCATGCACCTGATTGTTATTTTCAGTCTTGGTTGTCAATTTGTAGAAACTTTCCAAGCAACAAAAATAAGTAAAACTAAAAAAAAAAATTAATAGGAGGCAATAGTTTTTAACCAACACCTCAGTAAGGGGTTAAGGTTGAATCCCCAACCTGTATATAAAATGCCCTAAATGGGCCGAAAAGTCAAAGCTACAAGTCCAATGTCTGATATACATCCAGTCAACGAAAAATCAAAAGACAACAAAGAAAAGAAAAAATACAGCGAAAAGCTTACAACTGCAGCGATAAATATGAAAATAACAGATCATGTTCCGGGGTAGAGTCCCGGCTAGAAAGTCAGCATCCCAGTGTGGCGGGTGCGCCAAAAGGTAGGTCCGACTACACAAATCTGAATGAGGGATATCCCATCTGGTCCATCCGTATGAGAGTGCGGAGGCGGATAGGATTATCGTCAGGATAAAGAATGCGTCTGTGGGGGGTGGAGGACCCGATGCCAGCGAGGAAGTCAGCTGGCCGGTTTCCCTCGCGGAAGATGTGCGAGATCCGGGAGCGAATCGTCTGGAGAGTGGCTCTGATGCGCATGAGAGGGTGTTGGATCTATCACGTGCCCTGATGTCCAGATGACAGAAGAGTGATGACAGCGGCCACGTCCAACTCTATCCAAATGTGAGAAGAGATCGAGGCTGCAATCTGCAGACCGATCTGAAGCGCCTGAACCTCAGCGTCATAGGTCGAAGAGGCCCGAAGAGGGGCATGAAACGCGGCAATAAGAACGCCGCTATGATCCCTAATTAGGCCCCCACCTCCTGCAACTCCAGTAAGTCGATCAAAGGCTCCATCAGTGTTTAGCTTAACCCAAGGCGACTCGGGTTTCAACCAAACAACAGCTCTGGGACGTGGATGCTGGACAGGCACCAGCGGAGGTGGTGCAAGGCGGTGAGGTGGCGTGCATCCTGTCCAGTCTCTCTGAGTGAGTCTGCCCAAAGCCGTGAGGAGGGAGAGGTGTCGGTCAACCTGCAAAATAATATGAGAAGACAAAAAAGGGTTATCCTATGCTTCGCGTTATTCCTTTCTCTAATATCCCTATGATATTAGAGCATCTTTATCAATTAAACCTCATAAACGGTAAACTTCCTTTTACTCTTTCCAACACGCCACATCATCCAAAACTCCATTTTTTTACACTCATAAACATCCAATAACAATAAATCTCATTTTTATTGTCCCACATGTTTCCCACTTAATATTATACTCTTATATTTTTATTAATATTTTTATATTATAATTCCACTTTTGTAGTTTTAATATTTTTTATTGAGGTTTATGTAAGGTTTAAGAATACAAACCTGGTTACATTTGTAAACCTTAAACTTCCTCCTTTTAGTAGTTAAAAACCTCTAAAAGTGAGGTTCATAAACCTTACCAAAACCTCTTGTTAAAGATGCCCTTAGGGCAGCCGCAACGCCTGTTCATTTCCTCCATTTAAACGCTGAATAAATGTTCAATGCATTGTGACCATTCAGTTAATGCGTGGGGCCCAGGATTATGTTCAAGAGGTTGAACGCGTTCATCAGCCTTGTTTTTCCTTTTTTTTGTTTTAAATTAATTTCTTAACTATATTATTTTATATTTAAAATTTATATTAAATGAGTAGATAATGTGGGTCTGATATATGTATTTAAATGAATGTATAGGAATGTGGTGTGTGTTTAAATGGATAGAGATTAAGTGGAAATATGATGTGGAGATGATGTGGATGAGAGAGAGTGTTACTTTTTGATTGAATGAATAATTTTTGTGTTAAAAGATGTGGATGCGGGCAAAGTTAAGTTTTCTGCCAAAAATAAATAAATAAAAATAATATTACACTCATGACACTTTTTTTTTTAGCTGTTCCTTTTTTCCTTAATTAGTACATGTACCCGTGCATCCCACGCGCCTTTGATATACATAAATAATTTTATATTATTTAATATTTATTTATTTATTTATCAATTATTAATAGTGATTTATCTGTTAAGTCTTATTTCTTTCTTACTCCTTCTCCTCCTTAGTTATTCTGTCATCCACAAAAGAGATGTAAAATTATTATTTAAGACTTTAGTTTATTTAATTTGCGACTCAAACGATTGTTCAATTATTAATTTGGGACTTTAAAGATAAAATTTATCAGGACCAAAGGATTTAAAATTTCTAGTTGACATATCTAAGATAAAATATATTTTATATTTTTCATTTATATTGAAATATTTTATTTATATGTTTTATATTTTTTATAACTTATATGACATACAAAAATTTGCCCACGTTTTTCATATCGTTTTAAATCTTTATTCGGGGTAAGATTTTTTATTTATATTTTTTACATTTATAAATAAAATTTCAATTTTAGTTTTAATATTTTGAGCCATGAATCCGTAAGTTTAATCTCTCAGGCACATAACTGTTAGTTTTCTTGAGATCTTAATGGATAGAAATTATCCTTCAAATTTGAATTGATAGTTCACTCATGTTTCAATACATACTCATAAAACTCCATTATTTTTTTTAAGTTTTTCTAATATTAAAATTTTCAAAGATTGTGATTTTTATTCACGGGTTAATGATTTGCATAGTGACTTAAAAGGCGATTCGCTAATTATCATTTTAAATTCATTTAATTAATATTTTTAAATGTAAGACAACCACATTTACATTAATAATAAAAATAGTTCAAAACATATATCATAGAATATGGTAAGTTTACATTAACAAGTAAACTTACCATATTTTCTGTCAATACATAAGACTAATTTCTTTTTTTTTNATTAAACATGAAAAGATACATTGTCCAATACAAACAAATTACAGCAATCCAAATTGAAATGGGAGACCTCATACAGAGGTCTAAACAAATTGAAAGAAGCATAGGCAGCATATTGTTGAATCCCTAGGCAGCTAAACACCAAAACAGAGCTGAAAAAAGATATTAAACTGCCCAAAGGGCCTAGAACACCTTCTTAGAACTCTCTCCCCAACTAGGTAGCTTGAAATTCAGTCCATTCCCTCAGAGCTTGTTGAACAATGATATGTTCTGGCATGGTTTGCTTTTGAAAGATCCAGAGGTTGCGGGATTTCCACAACCACCATAAAATGTAAGTTGATAACTGAATTCTTTCCTCATTCACTTCTTTATGCTTTAATGCACAGACATTCCACCACCAGTCCGCAAACACAGCAGGTGTATGAGGAAAATTATCCCATTGTAATGGTGAAACTCTCCACACCCTTTGAGCCTTGGAACACTGCCAAAGAGCATGCTCAGTAGTTTCCACTTCTTCTCCACACACAGCACAAATAGGATCAATATGAACTCCTCTCTTTATAAGATTCAGAGAAACAGGTAAGGCATTAGAAAAGCATTTCCAAATGAAATGTTTTATTTTACCTTTAATTTTTAATTTCCAAGTTCTTGCTCTGACTTGCACATCTTTGACATGAGAGAGGCTGCTCTCGGGTCTGTCTAGGAAGAGAAGTTTTTGTGCCATAAGATTAGAGTAGGCAATGGCAACAGAGAATGGTCCTTTGCTTGCATTCTGCCAGAGCCAGCCATCTTGTTTTGCAGGATTCAAATGATTCAGCTTAAGAATAGCTTCTGCAACATCTGCTTCAAAAAGGGAGTTCACCAGCTCAGAATTCCACTCCCTGCCATTTGGATCCAGCAGTTCATGAACCCAAGAACAGGTTGTATGGGTTTCTTCTTTGAAAGCAATTCTCTGAAAATTCAGTGTTTTAATCCAGGGGTATCCCAAAATTTGGGAGTTTCTGCCACTCTGCAAGCTAACTCTCAAGCTAATATCAAATTTTCCTTTAACATCCATCCAACAATTCCATAGCCAAGATCCACCAGCTTTCCTCTTGGCCTCAAAGAATGTAGAAGTAGGGAAGTATTTGGATTTTAGAACTCTGGCAACTAAAAGGTCAGGGCAAGTAACTAACCTCCAAAGCTGCTTCATTATCATTGCTTGATTAAAGAGTTGTATGTCTTGAAATCCCAGTCCTCCCCTATCCTTTGGAATAGTTAATTTTTGCCAAGCCACCCAGGATATTCCCTTATCAAGATTACCTCCTTTGCACCACCAAAAATAAGCACAGAGCTTGGATATCTCCTTGCAAATAGTGGAAGGCAGTTTGAAGCATGCCATTACAAACAAAGGTAGTGCATTTAGGACAGCCTTGATCAAAGTTTCCTTTCCAGCAGTAGATAGATACTTAATTTTCCAACTCAACATTTTATTCCTCACAGCCTCAAGGACATAAGAGAAAGTCTGAACCTTGGATTTGCCGATACCCAGTGGTAATCCCAAATATTTTGTAGAGCTATGAACATGAATATCATTAAGCACAAAACAGATATTCTGAGCCACATGAGTAGGAGTGTTCTTACTAAAAAAGATTGATGATTTGCTCCAGTTTACCCTTTGTCCTGAGAAAGCTTGGTATTTATCCAGAATGTCCATGAGTTGATAAGCTTGATTTGTATCAGCTTTGGATATTCTGATTCCTCTAAGCCCTCCAAGGCCATTTTCATGATGCAGCAAGCAAGAGAAAACCTCAGCAACAATTATAAAGAGATAGGGGGACAAAGGGTCCCCCTGCCTGATTCCTCTTGATGGGTGAACCAATCCTTCAACTGCACCATTTATATTGAAAGAGTAAGTTGGTGTTGTGATACAACCCATAATCCATGAAATGAATCTGTTGTGGAATCCCATTTTGCTCAAGACCTTATTCACACTGTCCCACTCAAGTCTATCAAAGGCTTTTAAAAGGTCTAGCTTGATGGCCATAAATGTGTTCTTGCCAGACCTATGTCTGTTAAGAAAATGAAAAACTTCTTGGGCCACCACAACATTGTCAAGAATAGACCGTCCTGGGATAAAAGCAGCCTGAGTGTCACTGATACATAGGTGGAGACATGTTTTGAGCCTGTTAGCCAGTATTTTGGAGATTAGCTTGTAAACAACTCCACACAGGCTGATGGGTCTAAAGTTACTCAATGAAGTAGGATGAAGACATTTAGGGATTAGGGTCACAATGGTATGATTCCAGTATCTGAGCATTCTTCCAGATTGAAAGTAGCTTTGAATGGCTGTGCAAATATCTTCTTTAAGTAAAGGCCAAAAATGCTGGAAAAAAAGGCTAGTCATCCCATCTTCACCAGGGGATATCTCTGGACTCATACTGAACAGGGCAGCTTTAATTTCCTCCTCCTCCACATCAGAAATCAGAGCAATGTTTTGTTCCTCAGTGATGGAGCTTGGGATAAAATTAAGAAAGTCATTAGAGCAGGATGATCCCTCTGAAGTGAACAGCCTGTCATAGAAGTTACATACGCATCTCTTGAGTTCTTGAGGGGATTCATAGACACGTCCATCATCATCCACTAGCCTGGAAATAACATTTAACTTTCTTCTTTGAGTTGTAAGGGCATGAAAGAATTTGGTGTTCTTATCTCCCTCCTTGAGCCACAGTTGCCTTGATTTCTGCTTCCAAAATACTTCTTCTTCATAATGAGCCTTGTTCAGTTGAGCAGTCAAGGAATGCCATAAGTCCCAATCTCTATCTCCACTAGCCATTCTAAGTGCATCCAGGGCTGTAGAGAGAGTTTTGATCTTTTTCTGATTATCTGAGTTGTGGGATTTACTCCAAGACAAAAGGGCAATTCTAGTAGCTTTGATTTTTTCCTTAACTTTGAACATTGGGGTTCCCTCTGTTGGTTTGGTCCATGCTTCTTCAATAACCTCCTTCACTCCTTCTTTAGTGAGCCATCTTTTATCAAATCTGAATCTACTCTTCCTTCTGACTGATTGGGAATCGAAATTGATGAGGAGCATACTATGATCTGAAGAGCTCCTGAAAATGTTCTCAACAGTGGAATGAGGATGATTGTTAAGCCATTCCATAGAGCAGAATGCTCTGTCAAGTTTTTCTTCTACCAACTCTTCATTTTCTCTGTTGTTTGCCCAGGTGAATTGGTATCCCTGCCATGTAATCTCACTCATCCCCATGTTGGCAATAAAGGAATTGAACCCCAAACAACTTTGTGCCGTTCTGATTGTCCCTCTTTTCTTGTCCTCCATGGAACAGATGTCATTCCAATCCCCTGCACAAACCCAGTTGCTCCCCCATTTACCCTGCATATTCAGTAAGCATTCCCATTGGGTTTCTCTGATACTTCTAATAGAGCTGAGATACACAAGAATCAACCAAGAGCTGGTGCTGTCCTGATCAGTGGTAAATTCAACCTCTATGCAGAAATCATGACAGATCAGCTGGGAGATAGTAATATTGGAATTCTAGAACAGAAGCAAGCCTCCAGATAAGCCAGAAGGGCTTACAGATTTCCATCTATCTTCACATTTTAAGCTAAGACAAACTGTATTTACAAATGGATCAGCTTTTTTAGTTTCAGACAAAAAAGTAAAGTCCGGGTGGTGGGTCCTAATGGACTCCTTGAGCTGGGGAATTGTAGAGGGGCCACCCAAACCTCTACAATTCCACACCAGGACTCTCATTGATCACTGGTTGTCCCATTGAGGTTGGCCAACTCTACCTTTTCAAGAGATAGTTTAGGTTTCTTACTAGATTCAACTGGGGTGGAAGGGATTTCAGTCTGATGAGAGTTATGTTGAGCAGCAGGTCTTCCTCTCTTTTGGGTTAACTTTGAGGGATTGCTGTCATTTTTCTTAGAGGAGCTCAGCAGTCTTCCTTTAGAGGGTGGTGCTCTTTTCCATTTTCTGCCTTGATGGGAAATGGATGAGGTGCTGACTTCATGAGAGGCAGGATTAGTGGCTATAACAGGAGTTATATTATTGACAGTGGAAAGTTCCATATCTTCCTCAATAGTCATAAGGTCTTTCAGAGGAGTGGATGAGTTATTCTGAGGATGATCAGAGCCAATAATCATAGCTAAACCAGGAGAAGAGTTGTGGAGGTGGAGACCAATATCCCGCTGAGGGCCTGAAAAGGAGTGTATAGGAATTTCTATTAAGCACGATGGAGTTACAATGAGAGGAGATTGAGATTGAGAGTTCTCAGCACAAGTATGCGCTGGCATCGACGAGGATGTATGTTGAGGTTCAGAACTCTTAGATCCCATTGAGCCTGAGTGGCTAGCTTGGGCAGAATTAGAGCTCATAATGCCTTCTCCCACTTTGAGCCATTCCCCGTATTCTCCTTCCTTTAGAGCGCTGTGCGCTATGTCCTCAACCTTCTTTTTGCAATCTCGTTCAATATGTCCCAACAGGCCACAGTAGAAACATAAGCTTACAAGCTTTTCGTATTTAAAGATCACCTGGATAATTTCATCTCCTAATCGGACCTTAGCACATCGCAGGATCGGCTCTTTGATATTGACGTATACTAGGAGTCTGATTGTTCTCGAACCTCTGATTTCTCCTGTTTTTGGGACCGAAACCGTGGTGACCCTTTTGAAAAGCTTGCCAATTTTGACTCCAACTTCTGAGCTAAGCCAATGGAGTGGGATATTGTGGACATGGATCCATAATTGAACCTCATCGAAACATTTGTGGTTCTTGTTAATACCTGCGAACCACTCATGGAGAATGAGGTACTGATTATCATAAATCCAATTGGTGCCCGAGGCTACCTTCTTCATATCTTCAATTTCCTCAAATATGAACTGAAAGAAATTGGGGCTAATCTCCCTGATTTCCACTGCTTGTTGAATCTTCCAAATGAACACCATCGTTCTACGAAGACCGAATAGACTAGCTCTTTTATCTCCAATAATCTTTCCGAATAGGCTTCTTTGACATTCATCCTTGCTCAGTACAATATCCTCATTACCAATATCCACAATGGAGTTTTCTACTTCTGAGAGAGAGATTTTCCGAAGTTTGAGCTCTAATAGTTCATCAATCATGGAGGGCTTAGTGCCCTGATTAGCCATAATGCAAGCAAGCGAATAGATTTTACGATGAGGAATCTTCTGCAAGATAATCAAAAGTGAAAGAGGGAATTAAGTTTCCCAGTGGGGAGAATTAGGGTTCCCAGTGGGGAGAATTAAAATTGATAATCACATAAGACTAATTTCACTCATTTACTATTACATTTATTTTTTATCTCCTTTTTTTTTTTCATCTTCAAACTTCATAATGAAACATAGTTTTTTATGTATGCGGAGTCCAACGTTTAAGCGAGTCGACCTATCATATTTTTTAAACGAAAATGTATACTTATATTGAGAAATGATGTACTTTTGTTTAAATTGTTTTTCTATAATATGTAACTTTATACATATTGGTTGAAAAAATATGTCTATCTAATCTGTTAAAGCATCATTAGGACACTGAAAAACTCCATTGCCTCATATTTCAAACATATAAATTAAAGGGAAAATAATTTTATAAAAAAACAGAAAAGATAAAATGAAAAAGATATGGAAAAGTGAGTGATGGAAATGACTTATTGGGAGGAAAAAGTAAGGGAAATTTGAATTTAATTTGATTGCTGGCCGGCATGACTATGAAGACAAATCCCACTTGTCTCTATTCTTCCTTCCCTTTTTTTTCGCCCAAATACATCAGACAAAATCTTACTCACTTTAAGATTATAAGCTCGTCTTTATGTTTGCCCACTTTCCACATGTCATCTACTTAAACTAAATATGCCCATAAAATAATTAACTATACCTAATGAAAATGCTTAAGTCATAACAGTCCATTAACTTTTATTCTTGTCGTGGGATGGTATTTCTTTAATTTCAACATCTTTTATTGGAGATACATACAAAAAAATAATCATCTTTAATTTCTACATTATTTATTGTTACCCAAGTGTTTGTTTGTAGATTTTCTTTTTGTTTTGAAATAATTGTCTCTAAAGTTAATTAGACATCTTGTGAGTTTGAGACCATCTACAATAAGCTGGGTCAATTTTTATCATTAGGTTTAATAACTATTGAGTTACATTTTCATAGCTCCAATCATGAAGTTAAAATACAAAGCAAAGTAGTTTTATGTACTTGGACTAGCTATTAATAATTACCAATATTACAACATAAATTATAATGTTCGCCTATTATATAATTAAATAACACTATATTTAATAAGTTATATATATAGGAAAAATTACATTTTGCCTACCTAACTATCCGGAAATTTTACACTTTACCTACAAAACTTTTTTTTTTTACACTTTGCCTACCTAACTTTGATTTTTTGTACACTTTGCCATTTTTGGTCACCGCCGGCCACACGTGTCAATAAGGCACAAGAGCCACGCATTGGTTTATGAGGCCGGCGGTGACCGGAAATGGCAAAGTGTAGTAAAAAATCAAAGTTAGGTAGGCAAAGTGTAAAAAAAAAGTTTTGTAGGCAACGTGTAAATTTCCGGATAGTTAGGTAGGCAAAATGTAATTTTCCCATATATATATATGTAAACTATGAAATTTTATACTTTTAATTTATAGTGATTTTAGCATGAAAGTATACAATTCTATTAAAAAATGTATTCATAAAGTACCATAATTTTAACTAGCTAGTTTAGCTTTATGACCTTAAATTATTAAAATTGCTGGAAATTTTGAATTATTGCTTTAGATTGGACACCGTTGGTATTCAAAAATGAAAAAACAATTAATGTATTCAGTAATGTTTGTCAGTGTATCATATAAATTACATTATGGATGTGAGTACTAATTTGGACATTGTACCTTTATTGTTCAATAAATAAATTCTAATTAACACGAAATTCTGACATCATGTGTTAGGCAAAGTTAACATTACCTTATCATATTCATCTTTATTAAATTTATATGTATAGTTTTGTTCATATATTATAAAAAATAATAAGAAAATTTATAATATTTCACTACATGGGAGTTGAACTCAAGTGTATTTTATTAAGTTATCTAAACAAATGAATATTACTAGTCTCACAAGTTTTATTTTTCTTTTCTTTGGAGATGGGAGTTGAACTGTAAGTATAATTAGCATTCGACTCTGTGCATTTGCACAGATGTAAATAAAGTTAAATATTATAAGTTATATTTATGTATATAATATAAAAATTATAAGTTCTATAATTGTATTATATTTCAAACATATAGTATTATAAGTTATATTTATGTATATAATATTAAAATTATAAATTATATAATAGTATATTTTAAAATTTGATCATTGGTTAAAATAAATAGTACACACGATTTGATTGTATACGAATCACTATATTGATTGCATAAAATGTAATAAATATATACTTTTTATAATTTTGAGTGATCATGATCAATTAATTAGCTGAAAAATATTACATTTATTATAACAATTGCTTATGTGATTTTAAGAAATTTTACTATGACATAAAAAAAAATTAATTTATTAATAAACAACCGCTTCATCATATAAAAAAATATTGATTTTAGTGTAAAATATAATTTTATGTAATTTTCATATATTATTTAGTATAAAATATAATTACTAATTTTAATATTAACTATTATAATATTCAATAAAAAAATATAATTATTAATCAATTAACATAAAATATAATGATTTTTGTCTTAATTAACTCAAAAAAAATGTAATGAAATATTTTCTTATTAATGAGATTGGGTGTATTAATGCCACATCAATAAAATTTATTAGGTTCTATTTATTAGGTTTTATTAATGATTTGCCACAGGTAAAATTTATTAGGTTTTATTTATTAGGTAAAATTTATTGCTTAGCTAGCAATTGTATATATATATATATATATATATATAGATTTAAGTTACAATTTGAATTAAACGCAATTTATTATGTGGACAAGTTTTATTTTTCTTTTCTTGAGTTACATTTTCATAGCTCCAATCATGAAGTTAAAATAC